CTCTCTGGGCTGGTCCGGCCCTTCCCCGTCCCTCTCTCTCTCTGGGCTGGTCCGGCCCTTCCCCGTCCCTCTCTCTCCCGTGCGCTCCCACAGCCCGGGGAAGCCTCGCGCTCCCTCAGGGGCCGCTAACGGCGCGCGCGCCCGGCACGTGCGGGCAGGGCGGGCCCGCGTTCCCGCCGCGCGCTCTCCCATTGGCTGCTCGGGGCGGGGGCGGGGCCGCGCCGTGAGGGCGGCGGCGCTGAGGGGACGGTCAGAGGGGCCAGAGGTGTCCCTGCTGCTCCTCTGGGAAGGGCGAAGGGGCAGCTGGCGTTTTCCTCCAGGCGATGTATTATCTGTACGTTATTCTCCTCAATGTTGTGTTTGTTGGCTCCAGAAGTAAAGTGTCGGTGCCCTCTTGACGAACAACCTCGCTTTTACCTTACCTGTATTTTAACAATGCTTCGCAACAAACTTTTAACAACACGGTCTTTAAACCTGGGAAAAGGTGCCTTAACTGATTACGATGACTAAGCTCTGCCATCTTTACTGGTGCCAAACTGCCTGGCTGGCTTGCCGGCTGTTTGCCCACCTGTGCCAGTTGCTGCCCTGGGGAGTGACCGCAGAATGGACTCAGGACTGAGCGAGGGCCTGGCAGAGTCGCCCTGCCTGGAGCAGCTGATAATCCTCTCTGGATGTAGGATGGCTGCTCCTGTTACCTGTTGCCTTCTGGCACTTTTGTTACCTGGCATCTCCTTGTGGCAGCGGCTGCTTTCCTGCTGCCTCCTGGCAGAACTGGAATGCAACAAAAAGCTAGGAAAGGGAAACTTGAGGTGGCCTCTGTAAGAAGGGAAATCATGAAACTGTGTTTTAATTTCTGCTATATCTGTAGCTAAGTAGCAAGGCTTGAGGGATTGGGAGGGGTGTTGAGCTCTGTGAGCTGTCTGTGAGCCTGTTTCCAACTAATGGAAAAGGCATTCAATTGATACACAGGTTCTCTGTAGTTTTCAGAGAGAATGGCTTCATCTAAGACTTGCACTACCTGGCTCTCTAAAATAGCTTAATAGTAAATTTAGGTTGTCTTGCTGATGCTGATTCTTAAACTGTTTGGATTTTCTTCTCTGAACTGTAAACATATTAATTATTTTTATCAGTTACATTGACTTATTTTTGTCATTCTGATTATCAGTTTTATTCTCATTATGACATTACTGGTCTGTTTACATCTATTTTGTGTACCTAAAAGTCTGAGATGGGTACTTCATAATTATGTTGGCTTTTTGCATTAATGTGTGATCTATAATGTTTTGGAACCATTCCATACTGTTTATTCAATTAGTTTGCCTGGCTTGTGTATTAAAAATCTTTCTGCATCTTGGAAAGTAATCTAATTTTCTATATACCAGAAAGATAATCTTATTCTGTAAGAAATTTGACATGATTTTCAATATTCTATTTGTCCAGGCCATAGCTGTTTCTCTTCTGCAGGAGTGGTCAAAGACTCATCAGTGCTTAAAGAGTTTCAGGAGAGCTGTCTTCAGCAATGAGCTTTTTTCTTGAGCTGTACAGGTTAAACACTAATTATACAGCACGTGCTCGATGAAAACAGCACGTACTGAAGCATACATCCATGCAGCAATGCTGAACACAGAAACACCATCACAGAACTCAAAAGAAGGATGCAGTTTTCATCTTGTTCTCAATGAATGGCAGCAGTAATAGGCTGGAAAAGTCATAAGAAAAAGTAACTTGGCTAACAGAAAGTCAATATAGAAACCTTTTTTAAAATTTAGGTGCTTATTTTGGATATTATACACCTCCTTTTTGTCAGAACTATTTCTTCTTACAATGGAATCAAAATTTGAGATCAATTTTCATGAGAACTTGTGACACCTCCCCGTGCCTGAAAAACTCTTCAATTCTCAAACTTGTTCTTCCTACAACCTCTGCCTCCCATGCATTTAAGTCGCTCTATTTCCAACAATATGTTATGGCCAAATTTTTCAAGATTTTGTTTTTCATCGGTGTGAAGAGAAGTGGATTGTACTAAAAATATTTGAAAGTATGCAGAAACTTGATTGCAAATATTTAGTGGGTCTCAAGATGCAGGTGTTGGAGTTGACTGTTATGAATGTCTGGAATCTTACTGATAGTAAATTTGTAGCTGTGAGAAATGCAAACTTTGTGGAAACTATTTTCCTCTTAGTAGACCTGTTTAAATTGGGGGGAAGGGATGGGGTGATATCACAATTCTTAGCTTCTGACACCGCTTTTCATATTGAATACTAAGAGCTAACTTTTTGCAAATGAATTCCAGGTCATAGAATTATCTTTTCAGTGCTAATGTCTATTGAGTATTTCCTGTACTGACATGTAAAATCTTTTTTTCTCACTTGTATAATTTGACATCTCTGTACTATTTGCTGCTGGTTTTTTCAGGTAATGTATGACCTTTCAATCATTCCATTGTCTATTTGCTTCTGCTCTGGTACTTGGGGCCTTATCCATTGCCTGCAGTTCTGCACCTCATCCACATTTTACAGAAACTGTTGGAATTGTGTGATTCCTCTCCCTTCACTTACGTGCTTGGCAGCAGCTCCTTCATGGGTAGAGCTGTTGTTTTTCCTCTCTGCTGAATGTTCCAGCTCTGGCAGTGTCAGTTCCTTTACCAGCCATCTGCCTTGCTGGCTCACTCACTATCTTAACAGCTCTCCTTCTCAGACTAGATGTAAGTCCTAGGGAGTATGCCATCACATGTTAATTTTTTATTCAGAAGCTTTTAAAACAGTTGTTGCTGCACACAAATACCCTGTATTTCAATCCTCTCTATTCAGTCCTTGGCAGTTGGTCGCTTTCTTCAGCCTCATCCTTTTCCCAGGTTCCTTTGCAACTTGTTTGTCTATCTCTTCTTCTCCTAAATTTTTAGAGTAATTTTCTTCAATTTGACAACCTAGTTTGCCCCTGAGTTCTATCTGGAAAGTGCATGTCTGAATGCAAGGACAGTCTAGCCCAGTTCTTTTCGTTGTTTCACAGTAACTCTACAATCACTGAAAGAAGCATCTAAGTACTTTCAGATGTTACAGAAGTCAGGTAATAGCTCCTGAGGAGTGTGAGATTGATACCTTTGGTCAATAAGTTAGATAATAACTTCTTTGTGGTGGTGTTGGTGTTACAGATGGGATAGATTGTCTCGTAGCTCAGGGGCTGGCATATTGCTAAACAATCTAGCAATCTTTTTGATGAAAAGTCCTATTTGCTTGTAAGCTAGTCAGGCCTGGATGCAAAATTGTTTTATGAAGCCCCAAGAGTATAGTATGCCTTATTATAGGAGCAGTTTGTTTTATTTTTGTACTCTGTACCTGCTTTATAATCTTCCAATAGCTGATTCAGTCAGATAGTGTTGAGAGCTTTATAAACCACTACTTGGGTTAGTGCAATTTCAAGTTAGAGAAATGAATCACACAGATAATAATTTCAATAGAGACATACCAGATTTTTTTTAATATATATTGATAATTCTTTCTCAGACCCTCTGCTCCTTTCCTGGACAAATTCAAATACTGTTTATTGCTAGTGCCAATTAGTCAGCCAAGCATCTGCTCTGGCAGCTGTCCTCACAAAGAAGGCCCCAGAAGATTAAAACTCCTGGGACACTGATAACATGTTAGATGTTACTGTTTGTCATCTTCTAGGTATCTTCCATACTTCTTGTTTCTTAATGATAAAGAAAACTGAGTGTGCTTACAGCAGTAACTAGTAATTAGCAAACTGGATTTTGTTTCCCCCCTGTTCCTATGACAGCATAAATTCAGACCTGTCATGTTATGCCTCTAGTGAGGGACTGTGCATCTGAGAAAGGTTTGTTCCAATCTAAACCCGTGCCTCTCAAACAGGACTTCTCCCATTGTGATGCTGTTATGCTGCTAGAAGTGTGTTCATAATAGATCCCTCTGTTCTGGGCTAGAAAGTTAAAACTGTATTCTTATATTGGTAACAGAATTTATGCCAGTATAATAGTTCCAGTGGTACAGAATAGTCTTACTAAAAGTTACACAGTGTCATTCTGGTATTTTTTTGTGCACAGAAAGTGAAAACAGTCAAGTAAGACAGCAGCATGGAAGAGAGTGAGAGTGTTAATTAATTTTTTTTCTGTCTTTCTCTCAGACAAGTCAACTCCCTAATCCCAGGATGTGACTTCCAATAGGAAGGTAGCACAGTGTTAGTCTTTGAGGCAGCAGAAGTTGTCTCCAAACCCTGCTGAGTGAGGTACTCAGGTGTGGTCATGATAAGCCTTATAATTAATCCTAACCATGAGAGGCAAACAAATTTGAAAATGTCCAGAAGTCTGCAGCTATGAACTGGTAACTAATATACTTTTTCTCATTAAGTGAAGCTGCAGATATCTTATGCTAAAAAGAGCAAGTAGTCAAGTCCAAGAAAGCTGGAGACAAAAACTGGTGCGCTACAGTTTATCTTCCCTGCTTGTTACTAGGATAGACTCTGTAGTCTGGATTCAAACTAAGCATTATCCTATTAATATTAAGGAATGTCATCGTTGTTAGGTGAACGTGCTGTCTGTGTAAATTTACTGTGCTGGAAGTAACATGTAAACTTGCTTCACAAGAATAAAACTATTCACCAGAATGTGATTGGAAGGGTATTTTAAGAGCAGATAAAATCTACTTACGTGCTAGGCTAGAAGGAGCTAGCTGCTACTTAGCATGCTATTAACTAAAAGAAATCTCAATTAATTCCCTCTGCAAAAAAAAAAAAAAAATTGTTAGGCCTTTCAAGTTTTCAAGATTTTGTGCTTTAACTAATTTCAGTTACCAAAGAGAATTCCTGTTAACAAACCAGTCAAAATTTGAACTAATACAGTTAAGGAAGTGTGAAGTGAATAAAAACTTAATTTTTGCATTAGGCTGATAAACTCTTTCCATCATGGAAAATACAGAGGCCTTAGCTTCATCATAGTTTTTACACTGTATTCTAATTAATCAAAACTATCTGAGTAAGTCACACTTCCAGCTGGCACGACATGCTCATTGCAACCTCCTAAAGTAATAGGAACATCACTGCAGAGTTTATTAATCTTCCATCCTTCTTAAAACAAGGCATGCTGTTCCATTTATGTATAATATGTTCAGTAAGAAGTTAGATTAAGTGACTTTTCATATCCTGTAAAAGTGTCTAACATGATACAACTTGTGTTGTGGCACAGACATAAAGACTAGGTATAGGAAAGTGCTGAATTGGGAAATCTGGAGCTGAGCCTTGTGGTATTGTCAGAAGTAGCTCTTCAGAGGCAGATTATGAAATTAGAGCTTAATCTCTGCTTGACATAGAGTTAATATGCAGCCATTCCAGGGCTGAAGCTGTTTACTGGTTCTTCCATCTGTCAGGATTTTCCTAGCTTTTCTGGGAAAGAAATACATACATTTGAAAGTGAGATTGCACAGAGGAAAGCTTTCTTTGAGGCTGTGTTACAGAACCCTTTGGAAGGATTGTAGGTAGCTGCTGGCAGACCACCAGGTGAATGGGTGGAGTGGAAACAGTTATTTACAATAACTAAACACGCTAAAGATCCTTCTTCTCCTCTTCCGTGTGACACTTGAAACTTGTTTGTGTCAGAGAAAATAGTGTGAAAATAATAATAGTCAAAAGCATTAAGACAAGGAAAGTGATAGACCTGAATGAAATCTACATAGGGGGTTTTTGTTTCTTTCTTTCTTTTAGGACTGGGCTTAGCTTTTGCTTTCTGAGTACTGTTTTGATGTGGAAGATATGAAGAGGAGAATATTGGGCTAAAGCTGGAGGTTCTGGGAAATGATCAGGAAGCTTGTTTTTAAAAAGTTGCAAATATCTGTCACTGGTGTTATTTGAAAGTTAATAGTTTAAGAAGGAAGCTGAAATGACAAGTTCAGGGCCTCCTCTCATTGAATAAAAATCCTTTTATAGCCAAGATATGCCCATCTATTTACAGCAATATACAACTGGAATTAGGTTTGCCAGTCTGTGGTAGCCAACTTCTTGTGCTTCATTTCATTGTACATTGTTCTTTCAAAGGAATGCTTATCAAATAGCTGATACCCTAGCAGTAACAAGAGTAATTTACAGAATTGCACCTTATCAGTTTTTTTCAGTAATTTTCCCACCTTTGCTGTGGGACTAAGAAAAGTTTCCCTGGGACTAGAAACAATGAAGGGCTGTTTTTAGACTATGGAATCATCTTTCCTTTTGCACTGCCTTGCCACGTTCGAAGGGTAACCGCAACTTAAAGCTCTCTAGAGCTCTGTCATGAAAAAGGGATGGTTTGTGCATCCTCTGTGACTGCCAGGATCCTCATCTCCACTGTATGTCAGCAAAGGATGTATCCCCACGCTCGGGAATTAATTACACACTCTCATTGCCAGGGTCTCTTCCTCCCTCTCTCTCTCTCTCTCAAAGAGGCACTAAGGGATTCCAATATGGATTTTATCCTTCTTTCCTCTCACTCATGGGGACAAGAGAACACAAACTTCTATCCTCTGAATAGATCTACTAACATATCCCAGTCCACAAAGAAATAATAAAATTAACAAGGTTCTTATCTTTCTTCATTTGCCTGTGGCAGTTCTTTAGCTTGGATAACAGACTCCTGTCTATGCTGCATTTTCTAGACTCTCCCTGTCATCTGCTGGTAGGGTCCTCAGTGGAGTTCAGCTTGGAGCTGGATGAAGGATTCTATGGATAAAGCTATTAAACTCTGGTCTCTCATCTCTGTGACAGTACTGATTTCACAGAAGTAACTGTGATAAAGGAGACAGGAACTGAGTAGTTTCTCTTCCAGCCTGAGACATTTGAAGTGTTTCAGGGCACACTCACTATTCTGATTATTTTCACTTGTCATTTCTCACCGAGACAGAATTTCTCATTGTTTTCAATACCAGTGACAGACAGTTCTGCTTAGCAATATGGGAAGGGTGGAGTAACCTGTATAGAAAGCTGCAGCCCCTCAACAGATAGCTGCTTATTGTTCTTAAATAATATTTTCTCTTCCCAGAAAAGGTTAAACTCAAATTTTCTCTATCCAATAACTGCTTGGTGAAGAAAGAATACAAAGTTGCACAACTTCCTGAAGCAAGTGATGATGAATTTTTCCACTAGCCTCTTTGCAGTTACCCTAAAGGAGTCTATAGATTTTTACCCCTTTCTCCAACATGGTCATATCAATGTTTTGAGTAAGTGAAGGGAATAAAGTGACTACTTAACTCTTCTTTTGGCAAAGAGGAGAGAGATTAAAGCAAGCTGTCCTTGCTTAAAAGTGAATAGATTCTACTGTACTTGAAGCACAGTTTAGGTGGGAAAGAACTAAAAAACCACCAAAACCTGTGTTGAAGCAAAAATGTTAATCAATGTTAACTCATTTAGAAATAGTTAAGAGGGACAGATGGAATGCAGTGATTCTGTCTCTCTTACATGAGTCATTTTTGAAATATATTAAAAGCTGGTGTGCTTTTCAGTGACAGATATGGCTTGTCATTTTAGAGGTTATTTTTGCTATTGTTAACACTGAAATAGATTGTGCTTGAGTAACAGTAGCTGACAGAAGTCTTAACTACCTCAGAGAAAATAGTTGTCTTGCATTTATTAGCTTGGCTTTCAGGTTTGAGGAGCTGTATGTGGTTAAACTTTGAGATTCTGTAACAGTAATAGAATCCTGTTCAAGTTGATGCCCTTTAGAACACAAGGGAGCGAGGGTGAGGAGTGGGGGGTGACTGTGCAGTAAACCCACAGTCACAGTTAAACCCACGTTCAACCCTTTCCCCAGTGGATTCTCTGAGAGAGCACTGAGCCCCCGAACAGAGCCACGCTCTCTGCAGTTGGCACTGACCTCGTCGTGCACCAGGGGGATTTTTCCCTTGGGGTGGTAAGGGTCAGCTCACATGCAGAGTGCTTGCTTTCTGCTCTTTAAATATATTTTTAAACCTTAAAGTTGTAGCACAAGATTCAAGCCTGAGAGATTGCTCAGTCTCCTTCATCTTCATGGAGATTTTCTCTAACCATAAAGTTGCTTGTTCCTGCTCTGACCCGAGAGGATGTTTGCTGGTCACTTCACTAAGGCAAGGCAGCATTCTGCTGCTTTTAGAGTAAAAGCTGAGTGACTCGAACAGGGCCAGGGTGAGCATGATTAAGTTAAGAATCATCAAAATCTGGTGACTTCCCAGTGGACAAATACAACCTTATGTGCAGGGCTTGCCCCATGTCCCATAATTTTCCTCTTCTCACCTCCATCCCAAACACTAGAAACAAAGCTGAGTAGAACTTAAAGCAGGAAAATCTTATATTCATTGGAATTCTGCATAGATTCTGTTCCCAAACTACACATTTCTCAGGAACTAGTTGTCCTAAACAAAATAAAGTGGAAGTGAATATTTCTGCACAAATCTTTGTCAGCATTGTGTTGTCAGCTCAAATTATGGACTGTCCCTCTTTACAGCAGTGTCACAATTCAGCCATAGTCTAACATTTTGCCAGAATTTAGAGTGACTTTGACCTGTGAGACATAAAAGTACATGATTATAGCAATAATGCCTGAAGTGAGGTTACAGTTTTCTTCTGTTTACTCCTGAATGTTGAGGAGAACATACTACAAATGCTTAAACACTACAGTTAAATATTCATAAGTTAGAAGCTATACCTTCAAAAATTGCTGAAAATATCACTTGCTACTTGAAGGAAGTTATTGGGATTACTCCTTTCGAGTTAGCAGGCCCTCTCTTGTAAGAGGAAGCAATTCAGTAATTGCTTAAATGCACATTGCATTGTGCATTTAAATATCTTCTTTGAAGAGTAGACTTGGGAGTATCATATAAGAGTTTAAGGGCACTTATGGGCATAAGTAAAATCTAGTTATGTTTAATGCCAAGCATTGCTAGAATTCAAGCAGAGAATTTTTACTATACAATACATAAAATTATTTTTTCTCATTTTAGAATTGTAGAAAATACGTAGGCCATCTCAGCCACAATCCAGGGAACAAAAGACCACATTAAAAAGATGTTTTGGCAATTCGAGGTACTTCGGTTCTCCTTAATAAAGGTATGTGTCTTGTCATTCTCCCTCATATAGATAGCAGTAAAAAAAGTCTTTGCTTTTCAATAGCACATTTTGATTTTTAACTATAGCATTTTTGTACAGATTGTGCTTACAAGGATTTTTTTTAAGCCTTTTGTTACTGTATAGTGTTGTCATAAGCATGGCTCTAATGTTAAAAATATATCCAGGTCAGGTTTTCGTGCAAATAGACTTTTACTTAAGTGTAATGGAAACATTTCCATAACTTCAGCAGTCTACTGTAGAAGTTAAAATGAACATTTCCACAAAGAAATTGCAACTTGAGATTTAATGTACTGTGCTGAATACATGGTAACTGGGAAGGTTGCAGCGGATCCTACATCTGAAAAATATTGATTGTCTATTGCCCAAGCTGACGTGCAAGCAATTAGCATAAATGTTCTATTTGCAATAGCCTTTAGCATAAACAATGTCTGGGGACACACGTGTCATTTTGAGTATATTTTGGGCAGACCAGGTCGTTGGCTCTATTAAAAGCTGCCCCAGCTTCATTAGTACAAAGCAGCTTTGTCTTTGTCCTGACTGACCAGGTAGAAACACGAATGTGGCAGCAAGCACAGAGTCTGGGTTTGTGAATTATGGCAGTGTAGGGGTGTGGTCAGAGCATGCTGCTTGGCTTCTCAGATATTTGAGTGGCTTCTTGAGGGCTATTACAGCCAGCAGCAACAGAATATATACTGCTGAAATGTCTACAGTGGCCTTCTGCTATTAAGCCTCTTATTCCTACCCAAAAATGAGAACCTATTTTAAGGTTTAACAGTGTCCTTTTAAATTAGAGGCAAACTGCTCCAGGGAGATATTCAGAGTGGGCTAGGCAGTGGATACCATCACTAAACAGAGCTAGATCTGTTAAGATCAAAATGGTTGACTTGTCACACTATAGTAATTGTTCCCTGTGGAAAAAATTCAATAGCACTGCTTAGATCACACATAGCTGATCACGTGCTCTGAGGCTTTGCTGGTGCTCAGACTAAAAGGCAGAGGGAGGGAGGAGCTGTGTCAGGAAATCTTGTCATCCTGCTGGGGAGGGGGGAAGCTTGCCTTGCATACAGTCATGTGCACCAATTGATTTTTAATTTTACACTAATGCACTGTTATAATTGTTAACTTGATTGATTCCTAAAAGGCTACAGACATTGTGGTTATGCCCCTGCATGTCCAAGGTACCTGCTGGGAGGAGAGCTTTTGGATGTGCAATGACAGTCAGATAGTACCCAAACTGTTCAACTTCTTTTTATTACAGTAAAGCACAAAATCTGTTAATCTGCAGCCTATATAAGACAAATTGAATGGATGCTATCTTGGAAATGAATTACATACCTGAACCTTAATCATTAGTTTAAAAAAAAAAAAAAATCCTAGACAATGAATATAAGAAGCACTATGTTTCTATCCAGACTGGAGAATCTCTAATAACATGGGAACTGGTGCTTTTAGACAGTTGCCTTACTGCTCCCAGCAATTGTCCTTCTGGCTCTTTTTCTGGTTTAATACATGACATGAGGTACAGGGCATGCCTTAGACACAAAGAAATTTGAGATACGGGGCAGAAGTGAGTTAAGGCGAAGCGCTAGGAGTATACTAATTAGATTGTATTTGGTATTCCAAAGGAAGCAATTTTTTAATCTTAGTTTGGTTCTTCAGTTTCTTTTCAAAACCAGCACAGAAGCTGTGCAAGTCCCTGGTCTGGCTACAGGCAGTCTCTTAGGTTAAACTTTTCTCACTATCTACACCCAGGAAGAGTGCTGAGTTTCTGTTTTGCCAGCCTCCCCCTTTCCATGCCACACTGAGAAATTTTAAGTTATCCCGAATCACCAGCATCACAAAAGGGGTACAGCTGCATGCTACTCAGTCTAGGGTAAAACATAGTCTTTTGATAGCTGAGGAATACTCACTGATCCTGTGACAACAGTAGCTACTACAGTACAAGCAGTTAAGAACACTTGCTGCTTGATTATGCACATTTAATAGGCTTGCTCAATTCACTATTCATCACCCAGCACTAAGAGGAAGCCTGAAGCATCAGGCATAGCAACAACAATGCTTGGCTGTAAATGACTTCATGTAGGATGCAACTTGTCATTTGGCCTTAAATACAGAGGAATTTTTTCCTCCCTTTTTCTGAAACCTCTTCACAGAAACACTGTGTCTGCTACACTGCCTCTAACCCTCTGCTGCTTGTCCCAGCTTGGTGGGGCTGGGGATCCACACAGAAAGAAGTAAGAAATGATTGCTGTGCAAAATTTATACAAGCAATACAGTTAAGGAGGGTACTCAAGGAAACCATTTTGCAGTCTTGACTATAGCACTACCTTACCTGTATGACAAACACATCTTTTCCACCACTGAACCATGAGAATAGGAACAGGATTCCACCAGCAAATGAATATTATCAGGGGTTTTTTTCCTACATCTAACTAAGCACAGATATTTGCAGCTAACCAGCCACCCCGCTCTTCCTTTCCCCACTCCCCGGAAATTAAAATAACAAAACTACTCAAAAAGCATATGCACGGCACCGCTTTGTTCCCCGCGCTCGCCTCGGGGGCTCGCTCCCCGCACACCCCTCGCGCCTCCGGCACCGCCGGCTCTCGGCTCGGCCAAAGCCCCGGCAGCTCGGAGCAGAGGGCGGCCGGGGATGCAAGGCGGAGGGGCGGGGAGGGAAAGGCTTTACCTGCCGCGTTCCCCCGCGGAGCCAGGGGCGCCTGGAGCTGCTGCATCCACGGCGGGGCGCGGCGGGCGGGCACTCAGAGCGCCGGGGCCATCGCCGCGCCGGGAGCGCCGGGGAGGGACCGCCGCCGGAGCCTGGGCGAGCCGCGGGCACACTCAGCACCGGGGCGCTGAACAGCTCCAC